CATTTTTGGCCGCCATTTATTAATGGCCAAAAATGGCCAAAGGCCGGCCAAATGTTGTCCTCAAAATCAGATTAAAACCCTTATTTGGGTTGAACGGGACAAAAAGACATTGAAATATGGATTTTATAGTCGTACTCAAACTTTTGCACGGCACTGTATATATTTATATAGGTTATCCCACGTGCATTTTGTTATGTTTATACGTGCACTACCCTGCAAATGTGTGTAAATATTGAAATTTTATATAGTGTTTGAGCAACCTATGAAAACTAAACCAGTAAAACAAAACGATTTCACCTCAATTTTATTACGAATTCAAGCGCAATGCATCAATTATAAGAAAAATACTGAATTTTCAATGGTTTCCAAAATGGTAGATGTTGCATGAGAAGTGAAGCATGCCATATCAAATTGAAATAGATATAGCTCAGGGCCTCGTAAATGTTTTTCAGTATAACGTTGACTTAGTCTTCATCTTCATAAGTTGCTAAAACACAGTACAAAAGTATTATTTGATTCAATGAAATATTTAGAATAAATCCAGGAGTTGTATATATTCAACTTCGCTCTATGGTCACAATGGTTCGGGTTTTCTGTTTAAGCGTACAGTTTGGAGTTTTATAACCTTGGAACTTCAACGTTTTTTCTAACAAATTTTGCACTTTGTAGATTTTGTAGTGTCAATGGGATTCATGTTGAATATATAGCGTGTAATAATCAGTAATCGACTTTTACACCAAGCCATTTAACTGGATTATACGATTTTATGTATTATTTTAAGAAATTTACGCGATACCATCGTATCTAATCAGATATTATTTAAATTGAAAATATAAAATTTTAAATACACTATATTCAGAGTGTAAATTTGGAGGGAACTAATTTAATTTAAGTAACGGTCTTCTGCTAGGATGGACGCAGATGTTTCTTCAAATAGCCATGGTTAAATAGAGCAAAATTATAGCATTGTTTAAAATTGATACAAATGGATCTGGAATCCATTCGAATCCAAAACTAAAATGACAAGAAAAAAAAACTTGCGAAAAGGCGCCGCCGCGGTCAAACTTCACACAGCCTACCGAACAAAGCGATTTTATTCCATAGAATGGTCATAAAAATTAGATAGTCTTTAGGACAGTACACATGTAATTCTTTTGTAATACGATGTTCAGAAATTCATTTATCTTTTGTTTTCTCTTTTCATGGTAGATTGTTTTTCGATGACCGAAGCCGAAGTAGAATACGATTCGAATGTATTTTTTTCTTCGATACAATTTGCCAAAATAAAAGGTTTGCCGAAACGCACCTAGAATAATAAAAATAACCGAATTGTAACACAATAGATTTTTACACTTTTATTTCTAGCACCATATCTTTTTGCAAAAGAATACATACATAGAAGCTGCAACATGTACGACAATTGATACCAATAACATATGAGACAAAGGGAATAACACAAATAGAAGAAAAATGAGCCACAACACCTTTATATTGTTTATCACCTATTCTTACACCAAATCGTACTTCTAATTACGGTTGTCAGAGTCGATCGACTTACACCTTTCGCTTTGTTCTTGACTGCCGCATATACTAGATTCGTAGATTCGTACAATGTGCAACTTCGATCGCATTTCAAGAAAAAGAGTAAAGACGCAAGAGAAATGAAACAATTTCAAGGAATAAACTATTCAGAAACCAAACAATAAATCCCAAGATTGTTGTGATGCGCACACAATATTTTATACCTATTCAATTGGCACGGTAGCTAATTTATCATTTGGTCAAAAGATTTGTCCGCCTCAACGGCACCAATGTGCACTCTTGCGGCTCTATCGAGTTCCATTTAAAATTATAATTTGACGCTAGAAAAAACAACAACAAAAGTACTCGGAATACTATTGAGCTGCGTAGTATCACACTCCGAATTTAAATTAAAAAATAATTCGTTCTTTGAGTGGCGCAAATGAAAGTGTCTGCCATTCGAAAAACGACATTATAGCAAATGCGTTGAATAAAGCGAGGGAATGGAATAGCGTATGCACAAAAACCAAATACTACACACACACATATAATTATTGCCCATGCGTATATATACATCCGACAGAGGCATTGTTAATGTGCCTGAGTCTTACGTGGAAAAACATAACAGATCACCCCATGGAGCAGTCAAGAACATAAAACAAACGGCATAAACGAGCACTGCTGATAATTGCTTCAATGACAGCAAATGAAAAAAAAAATGGGAAAGAAAATACAACTGAAAGCACAGAAAGAAAAGGAACGATAATGCTTGTTGTGTTTGGTCAAAATAAATTTCGAATAGAAACGAAACAGATAATAATACTTTGAACACCTTTAAGGCTGTATTTTCATCTGATATTATTTTTCGACCCTTGAGCCGAGTAGTTTTTTTTTCGTTTTTCTATACACAGCATGCATGGAGTTGTCTGTGAATTCAAGGTATTATGTCTATTTCGTTTGCTATTTTTGGCCTTTCTTTTTCTGATGACCGTTTGGGGTAATTTATAGTTCTTCTTTGCTAGTCGATCGATTTTGTTGCCTGTGTTTGTATTTGGGTGCTTGTGATTGCTTTAAAACAAGGCAACGGCAAGTCTGTAATGGACCATATCGAATACGACCAACATGTTCATCCATGGAAATGGACCCTGAAAATATCATTTTCGCGTTTCGATGAGACAAAAGATACATGGATGTAAAGTATCACTATCAGTTGATAAAATGACACAATGATTTCTTCTCTAGAATTTGTGAAAAAAAAATTGCTTGAAATCCAATAGTGTGGTGACTTATAGTATATAATAATCACATTTTTATTTTCCACAATAGACGAATTATTATCCTCCTGCTGTTGACACCCGGGTAAGTGCCCTTTTTTATCTCTCGTACTGTCTTTTTTTTATAGTTCTGGGTTTTGCACAGAAATTCGAAGGAAAAAAAACATAGTAAAAGTCATAAAGCTATAATTGCTCTTTCTCTTCATGCTGTCTATCCAAGGAAATGGCCATCTCGCTATGGAAATTTGAAAGAGGCACGTGAATAAAATGAGGAAGAACACTTTACGGAAACCAACACTCATTTCAACGCATTCATAGTTTCTTTTGTGACTGCACTTTTCTATAATTCTACTTGATAAAGGAGTTAACAGCACGTTAACTCAGTGAGGACATGGCGAGGATTAATTTTGCGTAGTCCTTCGAAAAACGCATATTCATGCACAAGGCTACACCTCCAGACAATAAATTTTTGGAAAAATATAAGACATCAAACTGATTCTATAAAAGACATTCATCCTTGAATGTAATATAAGGAAAAGTAATTTACGAAACGCAAGCTACATTTGTGTCGCTCAGTGTGGCGACCGTAATCACATGAATAATAAGCAGTTGAAATGATTGAAAGACAAGACAATGTAAATCTGTGTATGCCAGAACATATTCTTTTCATTATTCCAAATGTCAAGATTTCGAATAATTTTTGGTATTGCTCATGCTATTTTCGTATGCAATAAATGGCATGAATAAATGTTTGGAATTCATTCAATTTCGATCTGAGGTAATTCGGTACAACGATTTTTTCCCGTAATTAATTTCGATTTTACTTTGATGTGAAGAAAAAAAAAATTCAGAATAGCTGCTTCTTTGATCTAGACACTAACCGATACTAACACCCAACTACACAAAAAGCGCCAATGCATATTCCCAAAAAAAATTAGAGCGTAAAAAACCGAATTTTGTTTTTTTTTCTTTCTATTTTGCGATGTTCGTTCTCTTTCTTTTCAAATTGCTGCATAGTATAATATATCAAAAGGTCCCGCCACACATCACACATATATGGTTTATCCCTTGGTTTGTGGGATTGCAAACGTTATTCACACTTCATACACACATATATTCTTAGAAATGTGCCACGCAGAACTAAATCCATAGAAAAAACCGTCAATCCACTTAGGCACAAAAAATGAAGAAACTATCTTCTCTGTGCCGATGAGCATAAATGTACACGCTAAAAACTGGCGCTAAAAGAATTTGGAACCGTACTAAGAGAGATTTTCGGTTGGATTGTGGTTTTCGAAGCAAACAACAAAAATTAAATTGCTTTAAAGATGAAAACCGAAAATATTTGGATGAGATTGTGAATGTAACCATGAAATTTCAATCCTAAATACCATAGTTAATCCATAATAGAAATGAAGAATCGAAAAGACTAATAAGAAAAATTGTGGAAAATAAGGAGTTTACCGGTATATCGTATATGTAATCAAATAATAGAAAAAAATAATATACCAATAAGCTGGTAAGGCAAAATCTAAGCAAAATACTATGGATAAAAAAGACACGGAATAAACTACCTAAGTCGGCAAAACAAGGAGCAACAATCATGAGATTAAACTAATTTGTTTTGCTTACCCGTCGTTCATTTATGTCCGTGAAAAGTGAAAACTATGCAGGGTGGGCTAGTTTTTGTACAAGAAAAAAAAATGCCGCAAAAATACGATTACTGTGAGGTCATTAGAATTGAATCAATGCCAAAATAGGGAATTTGTCATTCGGACAACTATTAAGCACAACAACTGCACAAAACTGCTCCGCTGCTATTTATATGTTCAATTTGAAATCTATATTCACAATAGAAATTACGCGCGTTTTTGTTCAATTTTTGTGAAATTTTTACTTTTGATCATATTTATTTAATGAATGAATTATTTAAAATTGTAAATAACAAATGTGTAGAGAAAATCGATAATACTAATAGCATGACGAAAAACCAAATGTTATAACCTACGAAAGTTGGATTTTTAAACTTACAGAGAATTTGAACTTGTATACAATATAAATCACATAGAAATTAGAGTAAATTTTTTGCATCAACTTTCGCTTTTTACTATTAACAAAATATGAAAACCTCAAAAAGTCGATTTGATTGATCATATCGATATCTGTAAGGACACAAGAAAATGAAAATCGATTGAAGTACAGAAACAAAGAATTCCTTTTCCTATAACTCGAATCCAACCGCCTAATAGAGCTGCTCACGAACACGAACTGTTCGAGTTCGTTCGAGTTCGTTCGAGCTTGGGCGGCGCCTATCTTGGACTTAATGACTTTGCATATCATATCACCATTGCTGGTTTATCAATTTTTGTTTCACCCAATGATTCAAGTTGCATAATTTTCTTAAAATAATTTTAAAGTGAAACTCAAACTAAGTTTCTATCTCGTTTAGGCTCAAGACGCATTTTTTGACATAGCATTTTCGCCCTTGTTCTCTACCTGTAAAGTAATGGCAAACGACTCAAGGAACAACAATAGAACAATTATTCATTGTTTTTGTTTTTATGCTGCTTAGAACGGCTATTGAAAATAAACACCTTGGGGCTGTGATTCCGTTTTAAATTCATTTCTATCTTCAAAGTATAGGGGAAAAAATGGTTCGGCACATAATGGAATAGAAGTTGACAATAGAACTGAACAGACGTATTTGTTCGTTTTAGTTCGTAGTTCCTGTTGAACGTATACATGCGATGAACAATGTATCACGGATGTGACTTCAACTCACAGAGACGATTTTGGGATATCTGTACATATACCTTGAGGTCATTTGCCTGCTAGATAGATAGTGACATATGATTTTGGACTCTTTATTGTGTCACATCCTGTAACACAGATAATTGTAAATATAAAAGAAGAAATGATCAATTCATTATCATCATGACTGCAGCCCAATGACAATGATATTGATTATTTATCGTTTATTTCCTAGGCAATTGTTTAGCATAATGGATACTATCCACACTGTTGTGAAGCCTACGGAAATATGATTCGACTGAAAAAAATGGTACGTATTTTAAAGAATTGAACCACACGTATTAATAGAAAACTTCCGTTCATTTGTGTTTTTTATATGGCACCTGAAATTGAATTCAACAGAAAAATACTCTGCAACAACAACAAAATTGTGTCTCTATGATTTTACTTTGTTAAACTAGATACATCGATGGTAAATTTGTCAGTTGATGATAAAATGGAACAAATTACCTGAAAATTGTGGCCAAAAATACATTGTGAGAAAGATGCGAAGCAAAAATGTGGGAGAAAAATACAGTAAATCATGAAATCGGATTCTCAAATCCAACGTAAAAAATTTCATGATTTTCTATGTATCACAATCTATTAAAACTTATGTCTTTTCAACGGTTGATAACTTTTCTCAAATCTAATAGTTGGCTCAGGAGTTATGGGATTCAATTAAATGTAAGCATTTGGTCCATACCTAAATAAGGCTCGAATTGAAGAAATTAAACTCTTTCTTCTGAACATTTAGCTAAGCTCAATAAATCTTTCTTTCGGTCCAAATAAAATGTGATTGATTGATAACAGTATCACCTTCGTTGGGAACGGCAATTCAATTATATTCTAAAATGGATGATATTTGTAACCGACAATTGTACAGCTGTGCATCTTTTCCGAACATAACTCATTTTTGGCAAAGAAAAATTGCCCTCTGGTCTGCGTAAAATGAATAACGGGACGGTAGTAAATCAGAAAAACGGAAAACACATTAGTTCCAAAATAGGGAAAACGCAAAGAGAATCTTAGGCCAGTTTATGACGATGACAACGACGACGACGTTCAAAGGATGCAACTGAAATCGAGAAATCATTTAGATAAATCACGTAATAATTCATCATGAAATGATTGATGAACGAAATCGAGAATAAGTTTGGCGAATGCTTGACATAATAACTAAACGATAAACAGAAACAGTGTTGGCCAGTTGTGTTCATTTTATAGGAAGCGTTTTCGGTAAACGCAAAGGATAACATAATTTGAGTAGTTTGGAGCGAAAATGTAATACAGAAAATTTGCGTGGAAAAATGTCAAATGAAAAGAGATAGCTATATAGTTCACTATAGTTTACTATACAGTTTACTATATGTATAGCTATCCTTTTCCGCTCATCGACATTTTTCCGCGCAACTTTTCTGTATTACATTTTCGCCCCCAAACTACTCATTTCCAGTGTTGGGTAATGTTAACAATTTCTGTATCTAGATAAGATGGGATTCTTTTTTATTTTGAAAAAAATTATCTAGATAAGATGCAGCATCTTATCTAAAAAAAGTATGAAGATAAGATACTATCTTATAAGTATCTAGAATATAATACATAAAAAATATATATCTAGATAAGATGAGATATTTTACTGCAAGATTAAGATAAGATAAAAGATATCATCTTATCTGTATCTTATCTAATATCTTTATCTTAACCCAACACTGCTCATTTCAAACTATATTTTTAGAAAGTTCGACGACTTTCAAATTTGGTGTGCTTTGAGAACACAATAACAATAGTTAATTAAAAATAAAGAAAAAATGTTTTGCCTAAAGTGCCATAATTGAAATTGTCCTTCCCATTTGTATTTCAATTTTTAACGAAACAAACAATTTAAAAAAATATCTCATTTGTCTATCAATTTGCCCTCAGATTTTTTGTGTGAAAATCCAACATGTTTACTTTATTGAAATTCATGTAAATATTTCATCAATGTGATAATAGAATAAATACTATAATAAATTTACTGAATTTTTGGACATGAAAACTCTAAATGGTCAATTAATCTGGTCCTTCCCAAAACTGCAGCAATCAGTGCTACACGATTTTCATCACATTCAGAAGTTGGTTCAGCCAATTCTGGAGTGCGTAGCACTGCATATTCCACTTGAAAGCCAGCCACCGCCAATGCAGCAGTTGCATCCGCTTCGATGTTAGCGCGTGAACGACCGGCTATATAGCCTTCGCGCATATCCAACAGAGTACGATAAATAATAGTGGACATCAATCGCTGTTCGGCGCTTAGGTATTGATTACGTGAACTTTTGGCCAGGCCATCCTCTTCACGAATAGTATCTGCGCCAATAATCTGTATTGGGAAATTCAATTCGGTTGTCATCTGCCTGATAACCGCAAGCTGTTGGTAGTCTTTCCGTCCGAATACAGCAATGTCTGGTTGCACCTGCAAAAATAGCCGAGCTACAACCGTGGCAACGCTATCAAAATGAGTGGGTCGATTTACAGCTTCCAGTACTTCGCTCACTCCTGGCACGTGAATCTGCGTAGTTTTGTGTATACCGAGCGGATACATTGTTTCCACTGTGGGAATCCACACTGCATCACAGCTAACTTGCTCCAGCCCCAAAATGTCGCCCTCCGGTGTACGTGGATAGCAATCAAAATCTTCATTTGGACCAAACTGTGTGGGGTTTACGAAGATAGTGGCGATAACTTTATCAGCATGTTGTCGGGCCAACGTCACCATTGAATAATGACCTTCATGGAGGTTACCCATGGTTGGTACCAGCGCTATGCGTAAGCCTTCCCGCTTCCATTGCGTGATTTTCTTTCGCATTGCGTCAAGACAGTTGAAAACCTGAACCATTATGCTTTTGACCGAATTAAAAAGGTAAGAAAATGATGTGTTCTTTTGGCTGCGATTCAAGCTGAAAATAGACAAAAATAAATCACTCACATTAGCGATATTGAATAAACGTGTTTTCATTTGAAAATTCATACAGATACAGTAATTCCAAAATTAAGATATCAATAACTGACGAAACCAGTAATTGAAATGTTACTGAAGTTTTTGGTTCATAATTCAGTCCAACGGAATTATTTTTTGCAGTTGATTTTTCTTCGATTGCACATGACACAATAGAACAAGAAATGTTTTACTTTGATTTTGGTAAGTTAAAATCGATGATTTGAATGAGTTAAAAAATAAACTTTGGTCAACTTGATGTTAAAGTCACTGTGGTTAAGATATCTCAGTCGAAAGTATCTACAGATAAGTCAGCAAACACTATTCAAAGGCAGCACAAAAAATGTAAACACATTGAACTTCAAAAACTTTTGAATAAACTCTTTCACACTTTCCCGCATTTTTGAAACAAAAATATAAATCGATAATACTTCTTTGTTGGTAACATTTGCCTTTTTTATTGTGAAAAAATGATTTTTTTGTTGATGGAACCGTCCAACCTTACATCTAATTGATTACGAATTTCTCTATTTAACTAAAAATCAATGTATGCCCAGTGAGCATTGCTCACATAATTAAACTGTCTTGTTTTTTTTGTGGAGAAACGGAGGTTCCATAGAACTGAAAAGAGTATACTCCAGCGTGAAACTTCGAATTGTTTGTTATCAGATTAGATTATTTTTTGTATGAGATCATGTCATACGAGCGATCATGTGAATGCTAACCGCCAATGATTAGACTGCAATTTTAACAAAAGATAAGTTAATCTTTAAAAAAAATGCTGAATCATTACGGTTTTATAATTTGTTTGGCTTGGCAAAGGAGAATGGCAAATTGTTGCAAAATAGTGATAAATCTTTTCTCTGAGAAAAAATGGAAATAACTATACAATATTGCCGAAGACACCTAGTCGCTGTCTTTTTCCAGTAGCGATAAAAATGACAAAAACGTGTTTTCCGCTCAATACCCACTTGTGTCACTTTTGCTCGCAACTTCATTTTTTCCTTTTTTGCTCTAAGTTTTTTTTCGTTTCATTTATCGGCAAAGAGTTCAGAAGTTGTTATTTTGTTCTTAGGCTGTCAATTGTAGTGACTCGAAAATAATTGTAGCAGTGCCTAGGATTATCGTAGTGGTCGGAATTTAATTGTAGTGACATTTTTTTGAAAACATTCTCCATTCGACAAAAACATTTGATTCATGGAAAATGCGTTTTTTGACCAAGATTTGAGTAACCCCATTTTGGAGCGGTTTTTCGATAGGCGATTACTCAAAAAAATGTTCCTACATAAAAAAGGTAAATACACTACATTAAACTACATTAAATCTACAATTGAAATTGCCCTACCCGAAGTCATTTCGGCCAATCTACCAAGATTTGAATATTCATCTAAAGTTCTAGTATCATTCGAAAGAGCATTAAAAACTCCATATTTGGTTGGTATACTCGACATTTTTCATTCGAGTGCAGACAATTTACAGGCATAACTGTGTTTTGTGCTAGTATTGAGTTCATTATTCGAGCTCACAGAATTTCAGCTTTGACCATTAAAATTTATTTTTTTTTAAAACGGGTTGATGTATTTTGTAGCTAATCACCAGCTCTTTCTTATGGATATAAATTTGTTTTGAATATTTTCAGCCATGTGGCTGAATCGAGCTTCAAACAGCAATACATGCTGTGGGGCAATTCGCACCACAAACACAAGGGGCAATTAGCGTGTTTTTGGGGACCTCAATGGGGTCGGAAGGGGTGGTTGACTGAGTATTTTTGTAGCACCATCAATTACCTTTCCAACGGTACCACGGGTTTGACAATGCGTGGACTACTTCTTAGATAAATAAAAATCGGCGCAAAGTCATTTTTTCGAATTTTGGGCCAAAGTTCGCCTGTCGACCGATGAAAAAAGGTAGTGTCACTTTAGGCGTAATAACTTCGCTTCTAGCGGTCCAAATTTCATGAAATTTTGACAAAACATCAGCGAAGGATGTACTAATCTAACACTAACACTATTTCGGATGATAAACACATTTAAAACACTGAAAATGCGGCCGGCGCGAATTACCCCACGATTTTGGATTCCGCTCCAAGGGCTATATCGGACCCCAAAGGGGATCAAACCAAAAACATTTCTTATATAAAAGTTAGGTGAAATGACAAGCTACAAAATGATACCAAACATTCCTGATTTTCTTTTTCAATTTTCATGGAAATATAAAATTGTGAAAAATGTGGCGCGAATTGCCCCACCATACCCTATTCAAATTTGAAATCGACGCTTTTCACTTTGAAGCCTTTACTAGTGAGGGTAAAACTTGGATTTTTCTTAAATGATCCGAAATGATTCCAGGTCGTTAAGGTCACTCACAAAATTTGGCTCCATTTACACAAAAATTTCCTTTTGGGGTATTTTCTTTTCAATCCATGGTAAATGTATTCCAATCACTATAAAACCGAAAGAAAAATATAAATTGCGTTTGGACGCAAAAAATCATTGACAAAATCATTCAATTTAAAACAAACCATACTACTAACAATACTTCTTTGTGACATAGTAATATCGCACAGCAGAGCAGATACAATACATACAAAATCACAACTCTCGCCAATAGTAATAATGGTAATTTGACAGATCACCATTGGTATATGTGAATCGTACTAATTCTGAGTGAGTAGAAGACGAGAAACCATATTTAGAAATTTGTTGACTGATGGTGATTACCGATTGCAATACTTTTACGTTTACACAGTATGTGCGCGGAAAATGCAAAAAACATTAGACAAAAAAGCAAGGGGCGAATTACTACTGGAACCGGTTTTCAGTACTTTTCAGTACCTGCGATCGATTTTCAGTAGCGGTTCAGTTTTTTCAGTACCTAGTAAATATATGACTTTTATTGCAGTTCAGTATTGTCAAAATTTCTTGACACTTGTGTTTAATGTTTGTTTTCTAGCATTCGAAATGGAAATTGAACGTATTTTATCAAAAATAAAGTCCTTTTATATTTGAATTGGAAATGTCTAAGGACACAATAAAGAAGCTGACATCAGAAAAGAGTGATTAATGTCGAAAATATATGTCTGGCAATTTTCGTCGAATGAAAATTTCTATGACATTGATGTGTGTATCATCAACTCTTTGAAATGTCAGTGCATCTCTGAAACCACGAAGACTCAAACCAAACAAAACAAGAATGGATTTTTTACACAAATGTTTTTCGGCGTATTTTTATTTCCAAACTACTGAATGTCGTATTTTAATAGTTTCGCACTTTTGTAGACAAATCTTTTTCAATTTTTCCCAAAATTCTACCTCAATATCAATTTTTAAACTGTATGGCGTTAATGATATAAGTCAAGTGTCATAGTTTGACGTATTCAATGCATAAACTGACACTGAAGTACTGAAAACCGGTTTTCAGTAATTTTCAGTATCAAGAAAAAAAAATTCGGTGGTTTTCAGTACTTTCAGTCAATTCAGTAGTGATTCGCCCCTTGCAAAAACGACTGTGCATATATGTACAAGCCAATACAATTCAATATGTGAGATTCAAAGTGATGTATGTTTTTTTGCACCATACTTCTAGGCGTGGATTGCTAGTACTAACAATAGATAGTAGAAAGTTTTCTTTGGCATTGTTGTAGATCTCCTAACATGCTATCGCTTTACAAATCCAAGCCAAATTCAATAAAATATCCCGAAAATTCATGTGTAGTGATGCCAACGTTGGCTGAAAGTGTTATGCAAGAGAGTGTTGGAGATGAAAGCGACTTTTGTGATTCCAGCCTAAATAAGAAATTGATAGTTTTTCCATAAATTTTCGTCCACACAATAAACAGAGCAGGTGAACTGAACTGTCAGCTTTACCATGCTTCCTCACTTTTGTTATTCATTCTGCTTCATCATCTCGTACCATTTTGGTTTTGATTGCACATTTGAATTTCGAGTGCACGGCTCTTTCGTTGTCCGTAAAGTATTAAATGAAAGCAAAATTAAATTGGTCGCTTTATACGATACTAAGCAAAAGCCGAACAAAGATAATGACGAAACAAACGAAATGGAAAAGGAATTCGTAAAAACTACCGCCAAGATACGCCGAAACATTCATAATCGGTGCACGTTATTCCGATGTGCTTACGACGTTCAGCGCTGCGTGATAGAGTTAAGCAATGGTACACGGTAACAAATTCAGCTCCTTTCCATTCATCCGTGTTAGCTTGTTTTGACATCGAGCCGGTGTATTTTTCACATATATATTAATTCAGATTTCATGTAGAATAACATTTTGTGCATCCGACAAAACACTAAAAAGAACGGGCCGGCAATCTACGTGCCGACAACTGGAAGAAAAGACTCTTAACAAAATTTCGAATAAAAAAAATCACTGTCGGCTATTTCAGTCTCGTCTTTTTTTCTTCTTTCGTTCTTTCTTTATTCTCGCTTGCTTTACGTTCTGCTTTCTTTGTTTATATGCGCTCAAAGTTCGTAGAACCAGAAAGAATATGAACCTGCTTCTTGATTCTATGTATCCCGAATGAAGAGAAAAAAAGCATCTCATTATAACCGAAAAATGTATTCAGATGCTCTTCGCTTCGCTCCGTATATTTGGGATTTATTTTATTTTGAATTATTCTTCTCTTCTGGCATTGATGCGTTCCATTCCCGATGCGCAGTAAAATGATTGGAATATGTGGTGAGCAGGTGATTTTTTTTCTTCTGGTTTTGAAAAATGAGACGCTTGTTCGATTCGTTATATAAATGGATTTATTTGGTAAATAAACATCCAACATCCAGCGGAATGTTCGTGGCAATGGTCATCCTTAATCTCTCACCTGTCTATCGGCCACACAAATGCGTAATTTCATTGAACACTTGACAAACCAAAAATATAAAGGTATTGCAATCTTCTTTTTTTTTACTATTTTTCAATTATTTTGCAATGATTTAAGTTTGTTATTTTTCTACAACGAAATAGTGTACCATGAATTAATTAACCCTTTGACGACCAAAACTGAACGGCTGGGAATTTTGCAATTCTGATTGCAGATTCGTGCTCAGCGACCCCAAAAATATTAACAAAAGTATTATCGAAAATTAATTTTTTTAATTGCAAATATGAAAAAAATGATGGGACATATGTGTCCCATTGGTCGGTAAAGGTAACTATTTACCTTTATTTTTCTATGAAAAAAACATGTCTCCCATAAGAACTACGTGTAAAATCTTTTCCGTTTTTAAAATTTATAGAATCGTTTTAAACCAAAAATGGTTTGAATCATGCTTTGTTGTGCCCATTTAATCACGAATTTAACGATCTTTTTGTAAATTTGTGTGTTTCAAAATTCGCGAAAAGTGGTTGAAATACAGGGAAATCAGTGGTAATTATTTACCTTTACCGACCAATGGGACACATATGTCCCATCACGCCAAAAGCAATAAAAATTTGAAACAAATTTTTTTGTAGAAAAGGCGATTATCCTTAGAAAGTAACAGACACTCCGTACAACATTTCCAATTTTCAGCTTTAAAAGTTGTACCCTTCAAATTATATAGGGTTTGGCGGAATTTGAAAAAAAAGTTAAGATTTTTCGACTTTGAAGTGTTCT